CGCCCGGGCGAGGGCGAAGCGGGGACGGCGCTGGCTGCTGGGAAGGGGCAGGCCCTCGCTGCTTGTTTCTCCACCTCTTATCCCCCTTCATTACCTACGTGAAATCATTTAAATTCTCGCAAAATGCGTGTTTTGTGCGTGCGCGCTGGGGCGAGGGGCCGGGGGCTGGTGCCGGCGAGTCGGGCCCTAACCCCCTCTGTGTTCCAGGGCAAACGTGACGGTCACCGACCTTGAGGAGCTGCAGGAGCTGTTGACGGTTAATATAGAGAACAACAGGCATCTGGTGACAGGGTCAGTCCGAGCCAAGGTACTGAAATGGTTTGTATAATCCTTTAATGTTTCTGTTCGGCTTTAACGGGGCTTCTTGCTTTGTGAAACTGCCAAAAATACTCGAAAACAGTGCTGTAAAAGGGAAGCACGATATAAAAACAGAGTAGTTAACTTTATGCTCAGTCCCGTAGTAGTATGTGTTGTATTGTTACTGAAGCTTGTTTTCACCTTTTTTTTTTTTTGCTTCTTTTCAGGGGTGAAGATGTAACAGAATTTCAGCCTCCCCCCGATTATATACTAATGGCTGATTGCATTTACTATGAGGAGGTAAATGAGGACTTTGCAAAACTATAGGAAGTTTCCTTGGGAAGGGTGTGGGTTCAGTGTGAGAAGTGTTCAAATAAATATTGTGCTTGTGTCTTGGTCCCCATGGTTTAGAGGAATACATAGAACAAGACTGGAAAAGGCATTTTTAACAGATCCAAGGCCATAGGAGATTCAACCAGAGACTTTTTTGATGTTTCAAAAAAAAACCCCCGAACTTAATATTTGTGCCTCCCCCCCCCTTTTTTTTTTTACATTGGGAATGAAGTGTGAAGCAAAACATTGTGACTGATAGTTGTGAACTGTTGAATGCATTGGTAAATGAAATTTAATAGTGCCACGTCTGCACTGTTTGGGTTCTTCTCATGCTTCCCTTGGGAAGGCAAAAGGAGAAATCGTGCTCCAGCTAAGTGGTTGTTGTAGTCTGCCCCATCTCCTCAGCTGGAGCTCTGTAGGACATGCACACAGAGCTAACAGAAGTTGGAAGAAAAGGGAAATGACCTGAAGAACCCCATGACCCAGTGCCCTTTCAGTGGTCTTACCAGCCCCTTGCGTTGGCTCCCTGCATGTTGGTCCTGTTTCCATCCGTAGTGGTCTGGATATGAGCCACGTTCCAACAGCGGCTGAGAAAACTCTCACTTTTGAAACACGTCAAGAAACAGTCATTGTTGTGTGCCTCAAGGAAATGCCCACTCAGCAGTGTGGAATGCTTTTGGCTTTGATGCTAGTTCAGTTTTCTTGGTCAGTCTGTGAAACTCTTCTCTTATGCAGTCTCCCTTTCTCCTCTGCTTTCCAGCTTGCCCCCATGTTCCTTTTGTCCCAGTTAAAGTACTAAAAATAACTCCCTGAAAAGCAAAACTGGAAAGTTCTCTCTTGGGTGAAGACTTTCTCTAGTTAGAGGGTATCGTACCAGTAAAATGAACTTGAAATCTAAGTGGGAAATACTTAACCTCTTTTGGGCAGTCATTAGAACCGTTACTGAAGACACTGAAAGACCTTACTGGCCCTGATACGTGCGTCTTGTGCTGTTACGAACAGAGGACTATGGGGAAGAATCCTGAAATTGAGAGAAAGTACTTTGAGGTAAGTGTAACGTGTGCTTTTTGAACACTAGGAAAATAGGTTGGATATGGGAGGTCTTTGTATTGGAACAGCTGAACATCTATGGCAGTTGCTACACGTACAAATTCAGGTTGACTGCACGAAGTAGCGTTTGTAGCAGGAGAAGCACGTTTCTCTTTAGATGGGGCTGAAAATTTGGATGGTGACTCTTGAAGTTAGTGTCCAACTTACCAGTAGAGACTTTCTGGATACTTACTGAGCTTTCCTTCCCTCAAAAGGTCGAACTAACCTTTCTTGCCTTACTGATCTTAACTGTATCGATGCTTTTGATCCAGGCAGCCAGACTTGCATAGGTTGTTAAAAGCCTCTCTAGCTTGTGATACCTTCCAGATTTGCAAAAGGGCCACCACATGTGAGGCAATATCTGTCAAAATCAAAACAATCATTTTTGTAGGAGCAAGTGAATTAGCAGTCGGTTGCTGCCTTCTTTCTGCGGTGGTTGTCTTGATGTTACCAGAGGCTATTGGGAGGATTAAAAACAGTCTGGTGAAAATTTATTTTCTTTTAGCATGTTCCATTAAAAGCAGGGGGAAAATACAGGTAAAGTTTTCCAGAGTAGCTCAGGAACGCAAGACTCTCTGCTAAGTGATACAGCTGCTTCTGCAAAAATTTCCCCCCTCTACTGAGAGAGCATTAATAGGTGATACAATTAAATAGTCCGGCTGTATCTTCTGTGCAAGTAAAGAAAAGGAACACAGGTAACAGCTGAATCCCTCCTAAGGTTGTGGGGATGACGGTCAGTGCAGGATTTAACTCTGCGCCTGTGAGCTCTGCTGAAAAGCAGCCCTTGTGCAGGAGTACTGGGTTATACGTAATAATAATACTACAAAAAAGGGGAAGGGCAAGAATTTCAGGGCGATTTGTACGTGTTAATAAAAGCACCTCTTTGATAATTAGCCATGCCTCGAACTCTTGCGGGGACCTGGCTGCGAGGAGGGTTGCTATAATTGAGATCAGCTCTGATGAGGTGCCGCTCCCACAATAAACACAATAGGTGTAGGTGTTTCTGGATGATTTCTGCTTTCTTGTAATTTATTTCCTCCCTTAGCTTGCCAGGGTGCAGCTGAGTTAATCTTCTGAGCACATTGCAGAGCCGATGCTGGGTGGTTTTAGCCTTTTTTTTTTTCGCCCCTCCCCTCCAGTTGAGAAGGTTGGCAGACAGGGGCAGGTGCTGTGGTTTGGCTTAGCACTTTGGAGATTGGAGGAAGCAAAATGTTTTATCACAAGCTTTTAGATTTTTCTTTAAACGTTGCAAGATGTCTGTAGCTTTGAATTGGCACAGGAGTAGTTAGAACGAGGGTAAATGTGCTGCACGAGGGGAAAAATAGCTTGCACGTTTGTAGAGGCCTTTAGTGGAACGGTCTGAGCGTGGTGACTCCAGCCTCCTAAGGCTTCTTGCCCTCGTGTGCGTATATTGTGGGACCTTTCTGACTGAACGTGCTTAGTTCAAAAGGGCAGTCAGTGTCATTTGAGTCGTCTCGTGTTTTCTCTGATAACCAGCTGCTTCAGATGGACTTTGAGCTGGAAAAAATTCCCCTGGATAAGCACGATGAGGAGTATCGCAGCGAAGACATTCATATCATGAATATCCACAGGAAACAAACGGTAGGTTAATTGAACTGGCGCAGCAAACGCTGCCAGGAATTCACAGAGCTGCTGTTTACTTGGCATAGTGTGAGCGTTCCAGGGGTGAAGCTCTAAACTGACTGTGAAATACCATCAGGCACCCTGTGAAACTGCAGACCAGAACCGTGCTTGTACAAAGGAGCTCCTTTGTTCCAAAACCCAGCGCTCTGCCAGGTGCCAGCCTTTGTCTTCAGCAGGGCCATCTTTGAGCTGCACGCTGGCTTTCTCTTCTGCTTCCACACTGTAGTGCAGTGGGATCTCAGAACTGGAGTTTTGAGGCACCGAAGTAATAACAACAGCATGCCCGCTGCTGCTTTTAGCACTGTGTGCTCTGCTGTACAGCCCTCTCCCCAAAACCAGTCTCTAGAGGTGGTACTTGGCACCTGTCAGGGTTGGTTAGATCATTTTTTGGTTAATTGATGGAGCAGACAGTTACACATGAAGAAAACATTTTGCATATTGTGCTGACACAACATGTGGGTCCAGTGCTTAAACAAAAACGGGCCACTTAAAAAGCCGTACTTTTACTTTTTAAAATCTCTTCACAGAATTTTCCATCGTGAGATCTTTGACCACAGTATCTGTCCTCTGGCAGCTGGTAGAGCTCTGGAGAAGAGGGATAGGGTATGGAATAACACCACAAAGGGACTGTCTCCGGTGTGGTTTGTGACTCATCTACAGAACGGCTTGTCGGTGCTGG